AGTTTAGGAAATTGATTTTTACTTCCCTCTTCACTCCCTTTCGTTTCAATGGTCCTTAATTAACAGGCTGGATAAAATTCCTTGCCTTAAACTTCTGGTAGCATGTGGAAGAGTGAGCTGTTAAATGGATACTGTGTGTCCATTAAATTGAGTGAATTTTATTTAGCTTCTGATCTATTTGGAATTGAGGTCTGTCTAAAGGTAAAGGTCTGTCTACAAGGTCTGTATATGCAGAATGGCTGAAACTTTAGTTTCTCACTAGCTAAATAATGGTGTAAAAGTCATGTTAATGTGCACCATTTGTTATTTTAGCAGTGATAAATGACTTTGAGATAACTTAATTTTTTGACCACTGACCTTTCCAGTTTGCAGTTTATACCAACAGCAAACTTAAGAACAGACAAACCGCCCACTTTTAGCTGAATGTGGCCATTAGTCAGCATATCTAGGAGAAAAGGTCTGCTTAAGGTGCTGTAAAATGCATTATAATTTCTATACATATTAGTTATTTGTCATAACTTCAGCTTTCTCCATTTTAAAGTTAGACTGCTTCTGATGTTGGCTGTTAACCACTAAAATGATACTTTACTAGTGATTACTTTTTTAATTAAGCCCATGTATTAGCTATAAAGCCACTTGAGTGCATTGTAAATAAAACACTGTAATAATGAAGTGCTTTAATTACACTCCCTAAAGTATGCATAGTTCTCAGTAAATTTTTTTTATTTAAATTCTTAACATGTTCAGTTTTTTTCTGAAAAGCATTTTGAATCACTGTAAAGATGGGGATCCAGCCTTTAAAGTAATTTGAGCAAATTCCATGGCTGTTCTCTAGTTAGTGAGTTTTCACAGCATTTGCAGCAAGCTAATTGCTTCTGCTAATAAATAATCTAAAATCGATGCTGACAGCAGTTAATTGGCACAGAGACTTTATTCTGTAAAGCACTTGGCTAACGACCTTCCTTAAATTAATAGCATTAAGTGCTATGAGGAAATAAATCTAAGGAATTGCCTGTCATTCGCTTGTCATGTCTAATAACTTCCAATAATGATGGCTGATAGATTTTTGCACATTCCATTATTGAAGTTGGTGCATGTAATTATTCTCCTCATTATATGTAAACAATTAGCAGTATTTGGTGTTTCCTTGCAATAAAGCTGTTAAATACAAGTAGCCCATTAGAGTTTAGAAACTATTTTTGAAAGCAAAATTTCATTTCCATTGAATACAACAAATCTGCAGGTATCTGAACATACTACTGGTTCATTGGACTGAGCTTCACTTTTTGGTAACATTAATAAGTTGCTTGTAAATGGGAGGATATGGGGGGGGGAAATACTTTGAAGAATTCTATTACTGAATGTGGAAACTTTTGTTTCTAGCTTGAGGAAGTAATGGAGAAGGAGACGTACAAGACTGCGAAGTTAATCCTCGAAAGGTTTGATCCAGAATCAAGTGCAAAGGTAAGAATCTTAGTATTGATACTTATTTAATATGAGAGGTATTACAGAGCCAAACATTCAGATAATGTTATTTATAATTAATTGGCAGGAGGCTGAGCTGCCATCTGCTGGAACATCTGCAACCCCGAGACCTGGACAAGGTAATAGCCCTGTAAAATGGCTGCTCTTTAGCATAGATACTCATCTTTCTTAGCAATTTCCACTCTAGAAGTCTCTCAGTGATAAAATTTTTAGATCAATTGACCTTTATTTAGGGTTAATAGACTGTTTATTAGACTATGCCCATTACTGTTCTGTATTTTTCAGACAAGGGATCTGTTACTAAAGACTGATGCTCTTCTAGACAGCAGGATGTGTAATACTGCTTGATGCTAAAGCAAAAAAATTAACTACTTAGGGCATACTTGCAGTTTTTCTAGAATGCTAAGGTGTTTTCAAATCCAGTGTAATGTTCATTGACTTAGCTTTTCAATTCTGTTTCTGACTAGTTAGACCTTTCCTAATGCAGTGCTTAAACTACTTTTATATGGTGGATGGAGAGATTGCACAAAGCTAGTGCAGAAATCAGATATATTCTAGAGCAAAGAATGGACAGTTCTTCACTAGTTCCATTTAAAGATGGTACTGAAAATAATAAAAGAAATAGAAAAAACTTGCTTGTGTTTCCAGGAATTCTTGCTTCTACATTGCAAACACAGGGTTCAAGACTGAAAGGATCTCTCCCACAATGCAGTCTCAGAGACCAGCACTTATATCCTTCTCAAAAGAAACTAAACTGAAAGATGCCCTCCACCAGGTCCATGAGACCACCTTATAGCTAGACCTAAATAAACCCCCCTAAACACATATAGTGTAGGTAAACTCAGCAACAACTGTTTCACTCTACAAATCTACTCCTGTTACGCCACACACATTTATTAATGTAGACCACAGCTTATAGTGGGGGCTGGTGAATCTGATGTGCGTAGTTTTCCATAAAATAGATTGCTATAGAGCATATATTAGAATCATCAACATTGTGTCTAATTTTTATGAGTAACCAAACTTTTATTTGTCTCAGTTTTTGCTCTTGGAGTGCTGGTTTTGATGGGTGCAGAACTCCTGGGTATACTAACAAAGGTGTTTATAAGCTGCATGGTCAAATCCACTGTTTTATTGTTCTCGCTTAGTCTCAAATTGTCATGAAAACATTTTTAGCCCATCCTTACTTGTTGACATTGACAGTGAGTAGTTGCAGTGCAGTACGTTAGCAGTAAAGCTTTTATCTCTTCTGGTTTGTTCCATACCTGTCTTTCCCATCATTCCATTTCTGTGGCATTCATATTTTTTTTTTTTAGGGCTGAAGGGCCATTGTGACACCCTGTTCTGTTCTCTATCTTAATACAACTCATGGGTGGTTGCCAAGAATTTTCTGTCATACCTTTAATGTTTAGGTAGTCTTTTTTTTTTTTTTTTTTTTTTAACTCTTTACATTAATCTTTCTCCTTGAGATATGTTAGAAATCACTCCATAAGCAGGGTGACAGATCTGTTTGTAGAATGCAAGGAATGCTGACCAGGGAATAAAACTGCTTGGAAATGTGTGTTTCTATGTAGAGATCTAGAGATAACTAGCAATAAATTAAATAGACAGTGAGAAATTTTGAGTCAGCCTGGCTTCATTAAGAGCTTACCAGCATTTTTGAAACTCTTAGAGTTATATGATTGTTTCCTTTGCCTCTGCCCTGGCTGTGAAAGTAGCAGTGGTGACAAGTGAGTTGCACAGTCTTTTAGTTAACTAGTCTTGTGTGTCTTTGGGCTTACAAAGCACAGCATGTCCTTTCCCGGATTCTGAGTTAGTCAAAAGCAGGTTAGTTGGATCCAGCATATGACATGTTGTGTTGATGTTTGACTGTTAATGCAAGGGCTGTGAGGGAGAGGTTCTGAGAGAGTTAGAGTATTTCTGAGAGCCAGCCACTATAGGCTGTGGTCTACATTAATAAATGTGTGTGGTGTAACAGGAGTAGATTTGTAGAGTGAAACAGTTGTTGCTGAAGAGTTTACCCACACTATATATGTTTAGTGGGTTTTATTTAGGTCTAGCTACAAGGTGGTCTCATGGACCTGGTGGAGGGCATGTTTCAGTTTAGTTTCTTTTGAGAAGGATATAAGTACTGCTCTGTGAGACTGTATTGTGGTGTGAACCAGAGACCTCTAAGTGGGGACATAATTGAGAGAATGTAAGTACACTTCTGATTCAAACATTATTCCACTTCTTTGGGTGCATCCACATTAAAGTAAGCCATTGACTTTGTCCTGAGTAAAAGTGCAGTTTAGCGTTGGAAAGGATTTTGGAAAATAAATTTTGTAAGTTATCATGGTTTATGGTTGGATTTGATGATCTTAAGGGTCTTTTCCAACCTAAATGATTCTATGATTCTATATAATTTTGTTCATGTACAGCACAATTTCCTTTTTTCTCTTTTTGTAAGCTATTCTCTAACATGTTCAATTTAGAATCAGTGCTGCTTTTTGTCTATGTAAAAGTGGATATTGAGACTATTGTATTGTGTAGATGCATTATAGTTCAGGGGTACATGCTGTGTTTGTCTTTAGCTTATGAAATGTAGATGCATTATAGTTCAAATAACCTGTTATTATTTTCTAAATAACCTGTTGTTAGTATGTGCAGTAATTATTTCAATTTTTAGCTGTCAAAAGAACTACTAGGTTATTGCTGTTCACAGTAAATAATATCTTCCTAGAACAAATACTAGCTTCTGTTCTGTGCAGTATGTAACTTACTGTAGCTAGATGACACCTCCATGTGATTGTGTTGTAATTTGGTGTATGCAATATGTGGTAGAATTATCATGATTGGGAATAATAAAATACCTGTTAACAAGGTAACATTGAAGCTTTCCTAATCTTCCCTCTGCTCACTTTCGACATAAACTAGCCAGGCAGCAGAAAGCATTATCTTGTTTTTTGTAACTGAGTCTTTTCAAAAAGAGAGTAAATAATGACCAATATGTAATCAGATTGGACAATGCTGTGTACAAGGCAGCTGATGAAAGCTTAGTTAGCTGGTATGTTTTTGACTCACCAGTTGAAAGGGAACCTTTTGCATCATGATAATTAGTACAGAGATTTAATCAGCATTATATAATAGCTTTTTCTCAGAAAAACAACTGGTAGTACCTCAATTTTCATATATATTTAGCTAGTTTTGCAATTTTTGTCACAATTAAATAGTTGTAGTTTTAACAGATGATTCAGATGAAGCTTGAGTTTGGCATAAGGAAGTGCCTGGAAATCCAGAAGGAAAGGAATTTGAAAATTGAAGTGCAATTCTGTCTATTCAGAAATGTTTTGAGGGGTATAGTTAATGCGCATATGATTTTTCAGTACTTAGGCCATATGAAAAATATAGGGTAAGTATATATTGGCAGTGGAATAAATATTTATCAACAGTATCCTGTTGTTGGTACCTGCTCCCTTCGTTGCGCTAATCCAACTGTTAGCAGAGCTGTAATGTCCATGAGATCACTCCATGACCCGAATTAAAAATAATGCAATATCAGATGTTTGCAAGCTGTGGTATGTGTACAGGCATGAGGAAAAAGAAAGAAAATTCTTGGTTGATCTTTGCTACTAAAACCAACAAGTTACATGGACTATATATTGACTCCCATTGTGCTGTAGCTCTTTAAAAATGATATATTCTTCTCTACAAAAATCAAGGAGTTTGAAATGAGGGAGAAATAAAAGTTGTGCTTGTAAACATGAAAGATACAGCTGTCTCACCACTGTCAATGTCTTAATATTCTTTAAGATCATAGTCAATCATCAGTTGTGAGTGGTAGCCCTGTTAAGTAATGTGTCTGTTTATCTGTATTGTTCAGTGCCAGTAACTGCAGAATTTGGACTTCAGTGTGCTTGAAGAATAAAACTTCTATTTTTAAGTTATTTATCTGTCTTCATACAGTTGGCTTGCAGACACACAAAAATCACTTGGGGAAGAAAAAACCTTGGAAAACTGCAAAACTTAATTAAAACTACATCAGCAATAGCTGTATATTGTGTTAGTGTTGAGACCCGATGCACTTATTACTCAGCTGATTTGTGGAACCTGATTTATGGAAATCTGGAACATTGCAAGAGGCTCGTTATTAACACATTGTGTCTCAACAAAGGCAACTTGAGAAGTGTATATATCGTATCCAGTTACTGCAGAAGAATATTATGGCTGTTATTGTGAAAGTGGACAGCAGGTTTAGAAGGAGTTAGAAGAGTTCATGGGCAACAGGGTCCATATGTGATACTAAATTGATTAGACAGGGCTGTACTCTCTAACGTCCATAACAATGCATTTATGGATCCTGGTGGTGGTATTGGAGATGTAGGCAACAGAAAGCATTCATGTTTGTGTGTTGTCATTAAATAACATCTGCAACCACTGGAACAGATGAAATAATGGGAGGGATGGGCTATTGGTCTTGCCAAGAAGAGCATTTCTTGTTTTCTAATAGTGTAAGTTCTTGTAACTTCTCTTACTCAGGGAGCAGTAGAGTGTTGGTGAGTTCTCTTAAGTATGAGAGAAGAATAGAGTGAAAACCAAATGAAATTCTAAGTGAAGGGAAGAAAAATAAAAAACACCCCAAAACCTTGGGAATAACCTGATAGAATTTAGTGGAAACCAGCAATGAGTCTTCCATTCATACCTCTTTATTGAGATGAGAACTACTGAAGCACATCCCTCTAATACTGACTGTAAAGTGGTTAGGTTCAACATCTTTGTAGGAGCAAAAATATGGGGAAGGACTAATTAAAGTAGCAGTAACTTTTTAAAAATTGAAAGTCTTTTTAAAAGGAGGCTTGCCAAAAATGACGCTTCAGAAAGAACAGGGAAAAGGAGCAGAGGTCTTGCAGGTGTTACGGAAATTGCTTAGAAATAATGTATTATGGGCTCAAAATAAATGTGGATATATCTGTAACCTATCAAAAGAGACTCAGAGCTGTTAAGTGACCAAAATTGATGTGCTTAAACCGCATGATATAGGAAGACAACCTTCAAAATATAGAATTAACATCCATATGTAGAAATTATAGAAGTGATCTTTGGCATTTTTATGTGTAAAACCATAATAAAGCAGCCTTTGTAAAGAAAAAGAATGAAGAAAATCTTAGCAGTGGATTAAAATATCTTTATAGATATTTAAAATTACCTTGAAACAAGGCAGGCACCAATCTCTTTTCTCTGGCAACCAATGATAGGAGCAGAAGAAATGGCAGGAAGAGGTGCCAGGGGAGGTTTAGGTTGGACATTAGGAAAAGGTTCTTCACCCAGAGGGTGGTGGAGCACTGGAACAGGCTCCCCAAGGAAGTGGTCATGGCACCAAGCCTGATAACATTCAAGAACCATTTGGACAATGTGTGCCCTCAGACACATGGTCTCAGTCTTGTGACTGACCTATGCCAGGGCAAGAGTTGGACTCGATGATCCTTGTGGGTCCCTTCCAACTCACAACATTCTGTGATTCTATAAAGTGGAGTTAGGTTTCGTATTTTTCACTTTTTTTTTTTTTTTTTTAAAGATGTGTGGGGTTGAGAAGGTTTGAGAAATTGTGTTCCTTTAGCTTGATTTTTGAAACTGGTACATGAATGGAAGCTGTAACACAAACTTTAACATATGGATAAATAAATCATGAGGCAGAATCAGTATATTGTTTGTAGATGAGTCATGCCTGTTTGTCAGCTGGCATGGAGAGGATGATGCAATTATTATAGTGTAGTTAGGCTTGAAAGGTTACTGCTAAGGTCTCTCACAAAAAGCTCTCAAAGAAGTGTCAATGGTGAGGTTCATCATAAATGAATTCTTGATTAAAATAAAGCCTTCAACACAGGAGCAGTTTTCAAAATAGAAACAAGTCATCAAGGAAGTCTTAAAGGAATTTCTGCAACTACCTCACAAATTCATCCTGATTTCCATGTTCTGAACAGTTTAAATAGTGAGGGGACAAATTTTATTTGCTAAAACCAATTTAAAATACAGTATATTCATACTCATTGGGTGGTCTAACTTGGATGATGAGTGAAGTAATGTTGTCATGCACATGAAGGTGTGACAGGGGAAAACTAGTAATTTGTTGTGCTCTATAGGAAGCTTTTAGTAAGATTTTGTGCAGTTGTAGTATTCTAACATGATACCAAAGAGTGTTTATTCTTTCTTATGGTGTATATTAATCCTATTTATATGTACAGATGAGTAGGGAAGAACACAACCTATGTATGTTGCAACTTCAGGGCACTAGATGCTGGTGATTTTCCAACAGAACTTTGATGTTTGACCTAGTACTCCAGTGACAGCAGCTTGCTTTTAGCTAGTGTAAGCTGATATAGCTCTCTCCCTGCCTCTTCCAGCCCATACAGAAGCTTAGCATGGTAGTATTGCACTTTCTGGGACAGTGATCATTCCTTTAGACTTCAGCACACCCATCTCCCTGTGACCAGTCACAAGTGGACCTATAAACTGCCTGCTAAGGATTGAAACTCTTCCAGCCGACGAAAAGTCAGCAGATAAAATCTCTCTAATCTTGAAACTCAAGGAGATGAATTCGAAGTTCAATTCTGATGTTAAATTCCATTTGTTGTGAAGGAAGACAAGCAAACTTGTTCAAACTAATGTGGGTGCTAGACACTGAATCTGTAGGGTACTGTAGCCTTATGTGTAAGCATTCTTGGGGTGTACCTTTTAGAGACTAAGCTGTCACTTGTTAACCATATTAATGTCTGCAGTCCTAAAATGAGGGTTACGTTTCAGTTTGATTTGTTGCAATAGTGTATTTCAAAGGCTCCCTAGAGGTGATTGGGTATAGATGGAATGAGAAGTAGATGATAGTGACTGCTGTTCATGCGCTCTGTTCCTGGCTTGTTTTGGAGAACACACTCATGTATTAATATAATGGAACTTCAAGTTTGTGTGAATAATATGATATCCAAACCTTATTACATTACTGGGATGATATTCCCATTGGTGTTAATCAGAACTCTGGCTTCAGGTAAGAAGAACTGATGAAACCTATTAAGTTTTACATAATAGGAATTTAATAGTAACTGTGATAGTGGAGTAACAGGTAAAAGTAAGGAAGTGTTCCAGCAGAGCCCATTCTTGCTTCATGACAATCCAAGCACATGGCTTGGTTGGGTAGGGTTGCTGAAAAAAGTGAAAAAAGCTATAGGATCTGAGTGAAGCATTAAATTTTATTCTAACTTTAGAATTGTTTCATTTATCCAATCTGGAAAAAAAAAAAATTAATAACTCTGGGCACTTAGCCTGGATGTTTCAGACGTTGAATAGTTTTTGGTCCCATAGAAAACTGAATACTTGGAAGCATGTTTAAACCATAGAGTAAAAACAGTGGTCAGTTCTGTTGGTACATTGTGGTTTGAATCTAGCTGTTCATATCTCCAACATTCTGCCTCAGAGAACAGAGTCATAAGGTAGGTATCTGCTAATTTTATTTGAGAATAATTTTATCCTGTGTTTAACAGCTAATGATTATTGATATTAAAATATAGTATTCTGTGTGGGGTTTTTCTATGGCATGCTCAGCCAGGCAGATGGTGGTCTTTAGTTTTAGACCTTTCTGGATTTGTTTACCTCGGTAATTTGCTGATTGGAATAATGATACTAATGTACTTTTAGTAATCTCTTGCTTATAATGCTAGATGTTAAATTCAGTATGTACATGTTCTTGTCAGAAATTCGTCAGAGGACCACAGCTCAAAGAAATGCTTCTACACCCCAGCCTGTGACTCCTAAACAAGGCTCTCCAAAATCACTTGTTCCAGCATCTCCTAATCTGCAGAGGGACACATCAGGTCTTAGTGGACCCGTAGAAAGAACTGTTGTGCCATCTTTGCAGTCAAATGTTTTACCAAGACGCCCTGGATCCCCTGCTACTTCAGTGCCTGGAATGGGTAAACAGAGCACTTAATGTTATTTACAGTTTATATTGTTTTCTCTGGTTACCAATAAAATAGGCCATTTTCAGACAGTATGGAAATGGCATTTCATTTGGAAATAGCAGAGCAGTTATCTGATTAAGCAGGAGTTCCATATTCAATTAGCCATAACTCTTTACAGCTGGCACCTTTTGATGCTGAAACCTATTGCCTGAGCTCATTTAACTGTTATGGCTTCTTTGTTTAAATGGCAATAAAACTTTGCAGTATTCTGTAGTCAACAATATAGCATACCTTTTTATGTTCTTAGTTTAGAAGAGCTCTACACTTCTATAAATCAGGTACAGAGGAGAACACTTTCAGAATACATTAATGTTTCTCCCTAAACCCTGCACATATTTTTTTAACATGCTTCTTGACATTTATTTAAATTTTTACTCTAGTAGGTATAGTCATGCAATCTATACTCATAGAGTAAAGTCTAAAATAACAAATACACCAGAAAAGTTACCTATATTGTAGCTGAATTCTTCTAAAATAGCATCATTATTTTGCTACCAGAGTAAAAAGTTAAGCAACAGGTTGAAATCTGGTAGAAATAAATGCTCCTCAAAATCTGGTTTCATATCCTGAAAATACTTTTCTGTTGATTTCTGGCTTGGTGTTCACATGGATGGACTTGATTAAATAGAATGTGAGCTAAATTCTGTAGGAGGGATAGCAAAACTTAAGAGTTTCGGAGGGGAGGCGTTGTTCTCATTTTCCTCATGGATAGTAAAGCTGTGTACGGGTTAGTGCCAGGCCTTTCGTTTGTTGCAGGATGTCTGGGAAGTTGGATCACAAGGCAAGAAATGAGATGAAATGCTGTCTTGAAAATAGAAGGGACGTAGTTTGCTAAGAATCTTCTGAGCACCACTGTAATGTGGAGTAGTTCTTTGCTCTTTATACAGTGACCAAGAATATTTTTCTCTGCCTTGTGTTCATCACTTTTAACTTTAAATTACTTAAGTTTTATAAACTGTATGTCCTTGCTTACTAACTTCCATGATACAATCTAAAAGTAGGACTATACGTAATGTATGGACATCCTGTCTCTTAATGGAAGATTGTGGGCAGCTGAATGTTAAAATGCTGATTTGTATTGTTCAGTGTAGTGGAATAAACTTCTCATGAAAAGCTGTAATTTCTCACAGCAGTCTATTAAGCCTTATTTTTTGTTAATAATTCTTAACCTGTACTATGAAACTGCTAAACTTGTTTTTATCCCTGAAATGAACTGTAAAGGCAAGTTACTAGTAAGTCTTGATTATGTTTAAGTAGCAGAAATCAGCTCCTTACACCAGGAAACTGGTCGTTTGGTTACAAACCATGTTTACTGAAACCTACTTAGTGAAAATTCCTTAATGAATTTAAAATTGCATGCTCCTTCTTGTTCAAGAAGCTGGCTATATAATAAAATAATATCAGCTTTATAATAAAATAATATCGTCTATATAATAGTTTTATTCTTGGGGGAAGATTCAGGCACATTGAATAAGCTGGATGAAATTCAGCCTTTACTACAGAAATGGTTTAGAGGAAGAAGGAAAAAAAAAGGTAATGAACTCATTTGAAAGGACAGTTGCCAAGCCTGTTAATTAAAATTTTTAATGTAGTTTTTGTGATAATGCTTTATAGGCACTTTTTTTTTTACTAATAAATGGTGTTTTGATCAAACGTGTTATTTTGTTGTAGGTAGCAATGGAAGACACTGCAATTGTCAGTTAATGTGGAAGCTCTGTTTTCTCTTGAATTTCCCCAAACCCTCCAGGTGTATAAAATCTCAGTCATGTAGCTGTAGTGAAAAGTATGTAAATTCAGTATCTATGAGAGTAATATCATTGCATCTAAGTTTATGCATGGCTTGCAACAAATATGAATAGCCTTTATTATCTCTACTTTAGAGAAGATTAATAATTCATTTTTGTTACACTATATTTTGTAGAGGACAATCAATTTAACGTGTATTACCACAGAGCTCCCATATGTTTGAAAATTAATAACCAGCAGGTAGTTGAGAGTTTGCCAAGGTTTGCAGAAATGACCAGTCTTCCTACAATGATTGCTTTTGATGTTTATATTAATTACTGGTGTCCATAACAGCATGAGAACTAGGATAGTTGGTTTGAGTTATTAGTATACAAGTAATTGAAGTTCTTCTTGGAGTGTGTTACGATGTTTCATTCTAGGTAAATTTATTTAATTTTTACCTTGTTTCTTAACTTCTAGAAACTTTAATATATTGGTGATATACAGGTCATATGAAAGTTTGGTCTTTTGTATATAGGGCTAAGTACATGTTTGATTGCTAGCCAGATATTCACAAAATTATTCTAGAGTTTTAATTGTATTGCAGATTATATCAGTGCTTGTCCTGATCTTTACTTCACGCCTCTGTTGGACATTGTGTATTCACTTTTTTAATAGTAGGTTGTTTTTGTTTTTGTTTTTTTTTACATTGGATCTCTCAGGTTTTTGTGAAGCTTTAGGAAATGCATTTTGTCTGAGCTCTGGACAGCTTTTTGAGATTCTATAAAATGAAGCATTAGGTCCAGTTTATGTTGCACTGAATTTGTTCTACCATGCTGCTGTGAGGGTTTTCTTAGTCTGGGTTCCTGCTTGTTGACAGAATACAGGAATAACCTGGGAATGCATTCACTGATAACTCCTGAATTCAGTTCTCTTGTTTGTGAAAATGAGGATTATTTTAAAAATTGTGTTGAACATGAAACTTTTGTGCTTACTGAAGGGTTGTAAATTACAGTATTTTCTGATCAAACTGTCTGTACTTGTAAAGATTAGGACAGTCCATTTTAGGTCAGTTGTCCAGTATTGATGAGAGGTGTTTTGAAAGGCTGTGCTATGGCACCCTTAATGGCAAGACTGGTCTCATTCTCTGTGTAGCACTTGGAGAGGGTGCTGCTGAAAATACTTGATTCCTGCAATGTTTCTGATGTTTGCCATAGAGGATGGAGGTTAGCTGCACATGGCGTTCAGCTTGAGGTTTACCACAATGTAGCACATTCTACTGTAAGTTAGTAGTTTGTTGGTTTTGGTTTTTTTT